TGCTGATAGACGTGTTCCCACTCATTTCCTTGCAGTGGATGTGATGACTGGGTGATGGCAAGGCACGTAGCACAGATGCACTGAGCTGTTGGAGAATTTACTATTTTTTGACGAGTTACTTTTTGCCCAGAGCAGAAGGGTGGTGTGGTTCAGCTTGGGGCTGCACAGTTGCTGTGTCTCCGGGGAGAGATCATGGCTGGAGATGGAGAAGAGCAGCGCCTGCAGGTACATGGTCACGGGGGACGTGGAGCTGCGTGGTCAGAGTGAGTGGTAGACGGGGCTGCTTTTCCTCCTCCTTGTCTTGCTTTTCTACGTGTAGCTCCATGACTATGCAAATGTAGAAGATGCAGGAGGAGGTTTCCTTTGGTTTACTGGGTCTTTTTAAAATGTGGTTTATTCCCCTTCAGTACGCAAGAGAGTAAGAGGACACTCTGCCCCTTGAGCGAGTTAGGCTTCGTGCTGCTGCTGTCTGCTAGCTAGCCAATCCGTCTTACATCGCGGGCAGCAAAATGTGAGTTGTGAAACAGTTTCTGTGGTTTTACAGTGCCAATCCAAGCATGTAGCATAGAAAAAAGCATCAGTCACAGAAGTACCTTACTAGATCACAGTTCCTAGATTGACTTCCAAGAGGAAGATCTAACCTGATACATTAATATGTGGGAAGTTAGTTTAAAAACAAGGCTTATGTAGTATCTCGTGTCCCTAAGACTTCCTTCCTCTCCCTGCTGGTTCGGATACAGCCACAGCAGCAAATACACATCTGGTTTGCACTGGCTCGCGCGTCTGGGCTTGATCTGTATGAGATTGTCCTGAATACATCTGCGACATGAAAGACTGTGTCTGAATTTCATGCAAAAGCGTGTTTTTACGTTTGTCTCTGTGTTGCTCGGTGTCACAATTAATTTGACTTTGAGGCTCTGAATGAGTAGGTACAAGTTAATTAGATTTGCTTTCTGTTAGGCGGTTGCATGTAATTCTCCCTCAGAAGCATCAGCTCCAGCAGAAGGATGGAAATTGCCAGCTCCACGCCTTGCTCACCTTGAGGTCAACAAAGTTATCTCTTTAGCCTTTTGTAGTAGGAGCGGGTGGAGGGATTTTCAGGGACAGAAACAGCTATACAGTCTCTGCATACTTCAAAGGCTTTTGTAAATAGCAAGGATGATTGCTGGGCAGAGAAGTGTTTTGTGGCCAGAGTGTCAGCATAGGCTTGAATCCATTAGGAGAGGTATCGTGGGGGTTGTCTTGCTAAGAATTGGGGTTAGCAATATTAATTTTAAAGAAGACCCAAAGCAGATTTTTAAAGGCTTCGTTTTGTTTGGTATTTCAGTAAAGACCAGGCCAGAATTAAATCTCCTTTGCAGTGGCGCAACCTCAAAAATGGATCGCAGTTTTCGTGCTGGTATCTGAATGTGCAGTTTTGATCACTCTTTAAAAAGTGAGATCAGTTACCCTCCATGCTGTGTTCTTAGATAGACGCTAGTTTTCCAGTACAATCAGTTAGGATAGTGGTTTGTATGTGCTACTGTTTTATCTGCTCAAAATTGGGAATTCTTTTTTCTTGTTGATGTTGTGGCGCAGGTGGCTTACCTGCTAACTGTTGAAAAAGCATTAAAAGGGAAATAAAGTTACCGTTTGTGTGACTCCACCTAACCTCATGTCCCAAACAGGACTCAAAATCCCTGAGTTAGTAAGTACAGATATAATGATTATTAATTTCCAGTCCTTTGTTTTGTAGCAGAGACAGCTTTGCAATCAGTTGCATTTGACAGGTAATAGAGGAACGAGAAATCTTTTTAGAGTTGTAAGCAAGAATAATTTTATTTTGAGGGGGCTATGTCACAGGCTGTTTCTACTTTATGAAGTTGTTAAAATAAACCTCAGCAAATTCATCCTCACAGCACCCGTGAGATTAATGAGTTTTATTCTGGCTGAAGAAACTGACACAAAAAGTTATTACAGTTTTTTAGGTTTTTGTTTTTTTTTTAGTTTGAAGTATAAATTTAAGCTGCTAAATGCTGTATTTTGCTGGTAGTTGAGGGGCTAGTCAAAGTTGATCAGGTGTCAGTGGGAATATTCCTACTGGCCTTTGTGAAAACGGGACCAATTTCTGGGCTGGAGGAGAAGCGAGTGAACATTCTGTGTCTTTTCTGCTCCCCCGGGGAGGCTGCCCTGCAATCCTAAAATGATTGCCTCAGTCTGTTTTCTTTAGGGAAAGTTAGGTTTGTCAAACTGTGCTGTAAGTAATGTCAACTGGGGTAATGGCTTGTTCCCAGGCAGCAGCTCTGGATTTCACGCCTTTTAAGTGTACATGCATTTGCTCCTTACAGTTGGCAAAAGCCTGGCCGTGAGCAACTGGAGGCTGGAGAAGACAAATTTAGAGAGAGTTCACACGGAGTTCATGCACGGTCTTAATTTCGGAGACCGGTTTGCATCGTCAGGATAACACTAGGCAGAAATTCTTGGTTCCTTTTCTCCTGGTGACTCCTTTTTCCTGGGTTTCATCTTTTTTTGCCCCGTCCCATCCTTCGTGGTGCTCCAGTGACGTCTCTGCTCATAGGTACCTCCATCCTCTTTCGGTATACCCTGTCCCGCTCTGCTACCTCAGCTATCTAAGGTTTTTGAGAGACCAAAAAGGTTTGTCTCCCGTTCTGGGAGGTGAGTGGTCGCTTTGTGGCTGATCTCGGGCTGGGGTGAGGTGGAGCAGGAGCAGCCGTGCTCCACGGGCTCCCTCCCTGGAGAGAGCTTTTTCAGCCAACAGTTGGCAGCTCTTAAAATTTGCTTTTCTGTTGTATTGGGCCTTGTGTGGTGGCCTGATGTGTTACAGAATGAGTGAGGCTCGTGTCCTAGTGTCAGCAGGAGTAACTGAGTCCCAGAATACAGCCGCAGCTGCAGCATTCCTGAGTCTCTGGTGGTTTGTCAGGTTTGGAAGCCCTCATACCTTGTTTGATAACAGCCTCACAGAACCAACACCATTCTTATTAGTGTGTGACGAATTATTTTTTAAAAGAGCTGAGTTGCTCAGCAGGACGTGCTGGCAGCTGGACTGGTGGACGGGCAGCGGACAGCTAGTCCTGTGTGCAGGGTGAGGAGAATGGTTACCAGCGGCGATATTTCTCTTGGGCTTGGCTTTGATTTTCAGTCGTGGAGAAACTGAAATTCTAACTGTGCAGGAGTAAATACAGTGCCTTTCGCATCTGTTTTAACTTGAATTAAAGAGGTGTATTATTTGCAAACTACTTGGCATGCAAGATTGCATCCAGAACTCCCTGGAAAAGTGTTGATGTGCACTGCGTTGTAGCTTCTCTTACTTTCATTGTGTTGGTGTTGATGCTGGTCTTCTGACTGACACCAAATGACCGTGGATTTCTTCAGGTCTGAGGCCAGACCCTGGCTCAGGGTGAAAGATTTGTGGGGTTGGGTTGAAAAAACAGAAATTTATTGAGCAAGATCTCCTCAGCTGTTTTACGGTGTTCTTATCACAGCCTCTGCATGCAGGATCCTGTCCCTTTGACCTACAAGTCCTGTGTCATCGCTAAAGACTGCGAAACATCCGAGTGGTCGGCATGGAGCTCCTGCTCACGGACCTGCGCCTGGGGAGCTCTCGCCCCGGGCTTCCGGAGTCGGCACCGCAGCGTGCGGAGCGTGCCGATGGGCGCCGGGAAGCAGTGCCCGGAGCTGGAAGAGAGGGAAGCCTGCAGCACAGGAGGGAAGGAGCTGCAGCAGCCTTGCCCCAGGTACAGTGAGGGCTTTCAGCCCCATGTTTGGAAATAAAGAAGCCCCTGTTCGATGACTGTCTTGTGCGAAGCAAGTCTTCGCTGCCTGATGTCTGTGTGTGGATAGTCCCGCGTGTCACGCTTTCTGAAACTCTGTGTCTAAAAGATCACTGATTTGATCATTGTTAACTATGATTAGTGGTATTATTTATTGTTAGTAATATTCTCGTAATTGTTGCTATTATCGTTATTGCTATTACAATAATTACACTCATATATAGAAATAAATCTAAATTACACCCACTATGGTTTAGATTTTCATATTTTAAAAACTGAAAGCAGATACTCTTGTTCTCTGAATGGGCTTTCGTACTGATTGCCTTTTTGGAGAATTTCCTCAGCTGCACAGAGACTGGGCAAGTCTCCATGGCTGTGCTTTGATTGGCTTTGAAATTGTAATTTTTTTACATAAGATTTAATGATTCCCCTTCATCTCCCCATAAATAAAATTCCCAGTCCTCCTTGAGGAAAATGGGAACTGATCAAAGATAATAGCTTGGACTTTACTCAGCTTCCCTTTGGGTACTTCTGGAAATGGGAAACTTTGCAGTCCCGGAGTGCTTGCTCGGTTTATGGCAGTCTTTGTTCTGGCAGAAGGTGAGGATCTCGCCTTTCTGGTCTGCAAATCGATGCCATTATGCCCAGCCAGGCTAGCACAGGGGATTGCTAGTTTGCTTTTGCAAAGAAAGTGAAGTATCACTTAATTTTTCATGTGACGTGTTCTGAGATTGACTGTAAAATGCTTCAAGATTGATAACATTTTATGTGCCTGCAGACAAATCTCCCTGTCTGTGAAGGAGTGTGTTTAATAGGAGGTCTATTCAGTGCTCAAGTCAGGAGTTTCTGGGACTCTGCCAGGTACTGCCAAAACCTTTGATAAAGCCTTTGCAAGATAAATTTCTTAGGAAGGCGTAACCTGTAAAAGTGTCTCTATAGCGTTGGGCTCATTCAAAATCAAATGCTGATCATTTTTATGCACCCTGCTAGCAGATGAGAGGAAGTATACAAAAAAACCACTTTCTGTTGCTTGATTGCATCCTATGAAAAGGCTTTGACAGAGTCATTTTTGCTCCTGCCCAAACGTGCATCAATTTCAAAGACAATAGGTGAACACGCTGTCTGGCTGATTTTGTGTAGGAGCGTGGGTGCCGGTGACACCTGACTGGGGTAGACCGGCTGGTAGGTAATCCGGGAGTGAACAGACATGTCTCTGTCCCTAGCTTCTCTCTTCTGCTTTTTGACATTGCACTGTATTACAGTGCAAGCGATTGTAGAGGCTTGGTGTAGAGCCAGGAGATCCCAAAAGGTCAGAACCTGCGTAACACCGACAATTTTCTGGAGGTGCCACTCTTGCTATAGAAGGAAGCCTGTTCTTCCAGCACATCGCTGCTATGCCCGGGTTTTCGTGAACTCTGTGAACTCTTAAACCTTCCTCGTCCTACCATACCTGCGCACCCTCAGTCCTTCAGGCAACGTTGCCAGCAAAGGAGCTGCATGAGCTGGGATAAACTGCCTTATGAGCTGGCCCACAAAGGTAACATTAGGCTTATGTGTTATTAGAGCCACTTAACCAAAAATATAGCAGCACTTCTCCCACTCCCCCACCCCTAAACCCTCCGGAATTTAGGTAATTGTTCTTTCTAGGGATGTAGCATCTCAAAATGCAGGTGGTAGGCTATGACCTTCTCACACTATGCGGCATTGAGGAGAATTTTACAGTAGCGCCTGGTTAGTAGACTTAGATTTGGCCATTCAGTACTGCAGAAATGAGCAGAAACGAAAAGGTAGAAAGTTGCAGTGTGTGCTGTGTCCCCGCTGGATGTAAGGCTGTGGGGCCCAGTATTAATGAACAGAAGTGAAATGTGTTTAAGTATATTCTTTAAGTGTCAGCAGCTGGTAAAGGATGTTATGGGTCCATGTTATAGTTTACAGCCTGGTGATGTGGTGATGGTGTCTGGGAATTGGTGACCAAGATACTGGAAGTGCTTCAGGCTGGAAAGCAGTAGTTTTCAGCCAGAGAGCGATGTAGTGTTAATCCCTATGAAATAACATAAGAAGTTTTCGATGCTCCTGTTCTCCTTATTTGAGCATATTCTCTTTGCAGTGCAATACCTAGAAAGATTATGCTTTCTTCCCCCTTAAATATATGCCACCTCATCTGTGGCTTTGCCGGGGCTTACCAAACAGTTATCTTTTCTTTCTTCCCCTTACAAGAAGATGATGAATTTAAGGAGATTCAGTAGCAGAAATGAAACGCTCTCTCCTTCATTTGCCTTGTCTCAGCACAAACCATTCATTCTTTCAGGCTTGTGTTTGCCTAATCAGATTAGTCTTAAAATCTTTTAAGATGAGAATCCTATTTACTTTCCCAGTTCCTGGAAATCTGCTCTTTGCTATTTTTTGGCTGATTTTAAGACAAGTAGCCTTTCCTTTAGCTCTAGTCTCTGGGCAAGAATTTTCCAAAGCATGCTCCATGCACGGCAAAGAAAGCGGGTGAGGACGTAGACTGGAACGAGAGCAAGTCTCTGGGCAGGAGAAGGAAGGGAATTCTCCAGAGGCTGATTTTTGGTGCAGGGGCAGAGAGCACCCTGTGACCGAATGTGGGTACTTATTGCAGGCTACATCCACCAACACAGACAAGAAGCAGCGCAAGAGGTAGCACTTGCAGAGTTGTACTCAGCAGGGGGAGATCTGTGAAGTTACATTCCAGCACCCTAAAAGGATCCAGAGGGGAAAAAAATACCTTCAGGTTCAAAACTGCTCTGTTTAGTATTACCTGTCTGTCCATGGCAAGGCTACAAGCTAATGGTTCCTTCACAGGTACATGGCAATTAGTGTAGATTTGCTGTTAAATGGGAAGGCCTTTTAATTTTGTGGCTGAAGTTTACAAGAACTTCTTTAATCAATAGTTTAAATGCAAGAAATAAAACACTTTAACTGCATGTAGGACTCCAGAGCATTGTGCTTTGTTTTACTTTTCGTTATTTCTACTGAAGGGATTAGATTAAGCACTTAAAAAGCTCAGATACATACAGGGTGGTTCTACTTTCTTTTATTGTGATATAAATTTGGGATAGTTCAATTAAAGTGAATGGGTATACACAGGTATAAAACTTGTGTAAGGGCTAAGAGCATAAGTCCTGTAGACTGAGGAGACCAAGAGGTTACTATAAATCGGAAAGATATTGAACGCTTGTTTGTGGCATAGCTGTCACTGAGTCATCAGTTTTTGAACAATGTATTCTATCATTTTTATCCTTGATGTGTAGCTTTCATGTTCACTGGGAATAGATAGATTTTCCAGAATTATGATTATGTCTTTAAATCTTTCATTTTGGTTGTGGTTGCTATGTTACAAGACAGGGATTTAGAAAAAAACCCTCTTTGCTTTGTTGGAAATTCAAAGCTTTTCAGAAGTTAAATGATGGAAAATGGGGAAGTTTTAAGAGCTGATTTTTTCAAAAGGCTTGAGGTTACTGCTGAGATATGGGTGTGATGGTATCGCTTTGTAAATGAGGCCCATTATGTGTCCCAATTAAAGATAAGACATTAGTGTGAAGTAGGAAAGGCTTGAAAGGAATTGTGGTGGACTGTGCTGGTAGGCTGCTGGAGTTACTCTTTGGGAGTGGTAGCAACACTTCTCTTCAGCCCTTTGACCTTCACTGGTCTTGGGCATGCAACAATGGCCTTGAATCAGCTGAGCAGCTTTGTTGCCTCCCCTTGGATCAGGAACCCTCCATGATGAAGATCTGGTTCTCCAGCTCTGTGGTGGACACGTCTGCTGCCGCTATGGTTGGGTGTTGCAGTGCGAGAGCGTGTTTTGCCTTGATGGTAACAGAAACCTGCTGGACCTGCTCTTCTGCTTCCTCAGCTGACTCTGTTTGGCAGGGAAATTCAGAGCGCTGCTTACGATGTGAAAGGTGTTCAACTTTACCAGCCAAGCTACATCCTAGATACCCCAAGCACTTACTTTATTGTTGCTAAACTAACAGTTTTTGCTTGTCCGTTTTCTTAAGCAGCCTAATACAACTGTCTGTGGATTCTGAAGTTCCCCATTTGGGACATTAGCTAGCTAGCCCTCAATGGGGTCTGTCAGTCTTTGGAAGTAGCTAGACCTCCTGCAACTCAAACAATATTGTCAAAAAGTGGAACAAGCCTATTGGGAAGCCAAAGGGAAAGGCTGAGATTTTTTTCGGTGTAGTAAGAGGTCTGTAGAAAAAAACATGGATCACTGCTAGGTCTGTAACTGTACTGAGTTTGTGTCAATCTGGCTAGGTATTGGTAGGAGTTAAAATGAGATCTTGCATCTATTGACATTTGAAATTGTCATCACCGACAGGTTTTGGCATAGGGATCACGAGAGTATATTGGAGCTGACCAGCTTAGGTGATCCTAATGTATAATGTCCCTTCTACTTCCTGAGTTGTCACACCCTTCACCTTCTGGGGATGGAGAACAAAGTGGCTGGATGGTATGGACCCCTTAGCTTAATGATGGCACAGCGCATCGCTGGTATGGTCTGCTGTAACAACAGAATGTCCAGAGTGACGTTAGTGGCTTTGGTCATCTTCATTCAACTGGAGAAATTACAGTCGTGTGGTAAAACCACTGTGGATATTGCTAACGATTTGCAAGTACAGGCTTGAGGTTGCCAAAGTTACAAAAAAAAAAACCCCACCTGAAGTGTTTGCCAGCCCATAGCCCCTGTTCTTTACTCATAGCTGTTAACAAGCTTCTGATTAAATTTAAGTAGAGATTATGCAGTCAGTTTCTCTTCGTTAAGTGATGTTAATTCTCATTGCCTTTAGTGTAGTCCATAGACGGGCAAACTAATACTGAATATCAGCCACGCTGCTGAAAACCCTGCAAAGAGCCTGGCACAAAGCTGTCCGAGGTTGCTGCATCTGTCTAGAAAGGTTTTGCATTAGGTTTCTCACTCAGTGGGACAGCAGTCCCTTGGGTACGTTTCTGGTATATTGGCTGGTTAATGGCTGTGAAAATGTGTACCTTTTAAACAACTAATGCTTGGGGTCAGGATTTGTTATCAGAAAACTCCGGACAGCTGAGGGCATGTCCAGCTGGGAAAAAACAAGATGGGCTGATGGGGCTGAGGCTTTAAGCTGCTCACAGCAGAGCGATGCTGGCTGGAGCACCCGATAGCTGCTCATTAAAGACCACTCCGCGGTGTAGCACAGTATTTAGTTAAAATATCTAAAGGGATTTTTTTTAAATTCAGGAGCTGATGAAGTTTAATTATCTCTGAGCTCGGATTTAGTTATTCTGCATAACGTTAATCACTAATGGCCTAATTTTCATAGGTGTTAACTCCCACAGCTCACGCTGAGTAGGAGTAGCAGGTGCTTACACCTCTGGAAATGAGTCTTTAGGATCCAGAGTTCACAGTTGACTACCTAAGCCAGATGTTGATAATCAGTTTTTATTTAGTCAAGTATTGTTTTAAGAAGTACTTTCCTAAAACAACTACTTCCATGGCTGCGGCAAGATGTGTGTGTTCTATATTTAGCCTTCTAGTTTTGCAAGTGTAGACCTGAAGAGCACAATGTCCTGAAGTGGCGTGGAGGAGGAAACCTCTTCACTCGATGTTTGATGAAGAGCACTGTTCATAGCCTTTGTGATGAGAGGAAGGTTGCATTTAACACTATAGGCCCAAGAAATGCAATCAGGAATTCCCAGAAGGAACTACTAGAAGAAAAAATTCATGGCTGTGCTTTATATGTTGTGGGAGTTCAAGTATTTCGTGCTTGTCATGTGAAAAGTGTATTCTTCATTGTTTTCTCTTTTGGTAATAAACCCTCTGAGTGTATTCAAATTTGCACATGATACTGTATATTATTTGAGAGCATGACAGCTCATCTGAGACGTACCTGTAAATTAAGAGTAATTGGCAGTATTCACAAACGTTTTCCATGAGTATGTTACACAATTCATAAGTGCTTTGTGGCTAGCAATCTTTCTTATGCCCACATTTACAACAGAAGGTTAGGAGAACATTGATGTATGCTCAGGCACACTATTGTGTTTATTTTTCATGTAGTTTTGAGATGCGTGTTTCCTTGCCATAGCTGTAGCCAGGAACACGTACTCGCTGTGGAGAACACACAGAATTGCAGCGTGGAAGGCTTTTTCTGCAGAGGCACCTCATTGCGCTTGCGCTTACAGCAGTCGGTCAGCAGGTTAACAAACGTACAGAATTTGAACAACTGTGGATCTGCCGTAAGAGGAGAGAGCATTTGTCTTGAGGATAAGAGAAGGAAATTGTTTTACGTACTTTGCATTACACAAAACCAACAAAGATTGCATGGGAAAAGTAAATGATGAAATTTAGAGGAGCAAAGGAATAAAGCAGCAGAAGTGTGAACAGATTGGTTATAAAAACAATATTGCTGAAGATTTGCATTTGGGAAGCTAAGAAAGACTTTGGGCTTGTATTTACTCTACCGATACTGTGACCTGAGAAGCAAAATGAATGATGCCTGTGAAAACTGTTGTGTTAGAAATATGCTCTACATTTTCAGACGTGATGGGGAAATAACTTTTGCTTTCCACTGATGCACAATACTATTTCCCCTGTAGTTTTAGTAAGTTCTTCCTGGCATTGAAGCTGGTACATACCAGTGATGAGCATCTCTACAGCATTCAGATGTCAGCGCCCAAGAACGTTATCCTTCCTTGAAAACCATTAATGCTCTATAGATGTGAACTGAATATAGAGTGAAAATATTTTTATCTAGAGCTTGCTGTGTATCACAGCTTCTGGAAACTGAAATGAGAGAACTGAGTTACTTTACCTTGAAGACATAGGGAGTGCTCTAGGCGTTTATAAAGCTGTCACCTGTAGAAAAGCCGCCCGGTGCTTGGAGCTCCGTTGACATATGTAGGGTTTTAGCTATTAAGTGCATTTCAGAGTGAGGCGTTCGGCTCTTGGCAGAGACAGGTGGCTTAGTGGTTTCAGCCGCATGTTTGAAAACTAGTTTTTGCACTTAATCGACCCTCTTAATCTTCGTTCCTTCCTTGCACCCTGCTCAAACGGTTTGTCAGGATGATTTAGTGTTGCAGAATGCTTTGGAGATTAGTGCTATGTGAAAAATTTTACAGAAATACTCCAGACAAATAACAAATACTTAACCTTTTTAAATTTACAATTCAAAATGTTTCAGAACATTCCCTGTTTTGAACTGGGAAGTGCTGCTGTAAAGATTAAACCGATTGTATTTTGTCATCTAATAAAGAACTGCTTTTGCACCTGTAGTCTTTTCAAAAACTTGTTTTACCTGGTCTCTTTTATTTCCAAAGGTTTACCTGGAGGACTTCTGAGTGGAGAGCTTGCCAAGTGTCTCTCCTCCTTGATCAGCAGGACCCTCACCATCACGAGCACGTAGACCTTTGTGGAGGTGGCATACAAACCCGGGAGGTCTACTGCGTCCAAATCACCATAGAAATGGGGACGCACCATCTGAAGGAAGGTACATGCATAGGGTCGTTCTGAATTGTCCAGCCCAAGGAGATCTGAGTAAGAGAAATGGGGGAGGAAAAAAAAAAAATAACATGCAGTCATTAGTAGAATTTGGCTAGCTGATGTCCTCATTGTATCCATGCTTGCACAGGGAGGTGTTACTCAGCATCAGAGGGAGCAGGAAGGCTTGGTCCTCAGGGTCCTGAGGAACTGCCAGGAGCCACAACCTTCTGGGGTGAACTAATGCCAGTTCTGTAGGTGTACTTGTATGGAGGGGTGGATGGGTGTTTCAAAGGGTGAAGGAGCTAAATTTAAATTTTGCCTGGGATTGAGTTTTCTTCCTCTCTTGTATATCAGTAGCCCATCCCCTTGGTAGCTGAATTCGTTTATCTGTGGCTTTAGTCCTGGTTTACAGTATAAAAAAAGATGTCGCACTCCATTCTGGATGTGGCTTTAGCCTCTGCTTCAGACTGAAACACAATCTTTCTTGTGATTTCAAGGGGAAAGCAAAAATAATATTGTCACAACTTCAGAGCAGACAGACGGTTTTTGGACTCTGGAAGTGAGTTATTTTTCTTTTAGAAGAATAATGAGTAGATACAGATGCACGATGAATAATTCATCTTAGGCTGTTTTATTTACTCTATGTAGAGCTCTTGCAGAATATGTTTTTGAGCAGAGATGTAAGATAATAAGAACACAATATCATATCTTAGATTTATTTACTTACAAAGGCAAAGCACATGTTTCCTGGACACCCAGTGTGTCCTAGCATCCCGCCCAGACTCTGAGGCAGTAGAAAAACAAACCCATTTTAATCTCTGCTCAGTGCATGCATAGTTGCTGCTTCCCCTCTCCCAAACATCTGGCACCACCTTGCTCTCCCAGCGCAAACCCCCTCGGTTGTTCTGCACAAGTAAGCAATGGACGTGACTTTCAAAGTAAGAAAAGTGCTGTTGATGAGTGTGATCACCTGCAGGTTTTCCCCTTGTTCAAAGTTCAGTTCAACTTAAAAATTGCAAGTCCTCCCCTCAACAAAATGAAAACACTGGAATATTTCGTTCTTGTTTTTACAGTTCTAACCTTTTTGTTCTTAAAACCAAAAAATTTTCTTATAGGCAACTAAAAAAACCAAACGTGCATAGCAATTGTACAAGGTAGAAATTATTACTGCCGCTCCCAGGCAGTAGTGCGGATTTGCAGTAGTCCTTGGAAAGTGAGATCCCCATCTACTGTCAACATAGCCGCATGCAAATAGAAAGAGGGAAAGCCTTCCCTATTATCTCTCCCTATCCAGTAATATTCAGTGTATCTCATTTACTAGCTGATCAGTTTTTGGTCTTTAAATAAATAAGGAATGACATCTTTTCTGGCCTCTTTTCTGACAATCTGATCTGACAGAATAATTTTGTTTGTCACTAGGGCATCTCATATTTTATTGTACCATTTTTTCAGTGGTGGGGAGAAGATGAGGAAGTTAATCCTTCTATGTATGAGCAAATATAAAGTCTAATTGCTACCATCAAAAGTATAGTAATTTTTCTTTCCTTACCTCTTGAGTCTCCTTAAAGGGATCATTCAGGAATCAAACAAGCGAGTCTAATAGGATATTACTATCCATCACAGTTGTTATTCTTCTGGTTACTTCCAATGAGAATTTGGACCTAGGCCCAATGACATATGTGAAAGAAGATTTTGTCCTGTGGTCTCTCCAGCAGCATTCTTGGATAAAATATGTTGAATCCTGGTTGGAGACAGGTACCATCTGTGATGTATTCATACATATTGCTCAAAGCTCTTTTATCCCCTGAGGATCTGTTTCCCATTTTTCGTTTGCTTAGTCTCCCCATCTACTTCTTCTTTTATTAAAATGTATATATTTAGAAAAGGAGCCCCTGTTTTCTTGAGTCCCTATATATCAGTTATTCAGAAGACTAAGTCTGCTGAATTTTTTCTGTATTTTCGTAGAATCGTAGACTAGTTTGGGTTGGAAGGGATCTTTAAATGTCACCTAGTCCAAAACCTCTGCCATGAGCATGGACACCTTTCACTAGATCAGGTTGCTCAGAGCCCCATCTGATGTGGTCTTGAATGTTTCCAGGGATGGGGAGGCATCTACCACCTCTCTGGGCAACCTGTGCCAGGGTTTCACCACCCTCATTGTAAAAAATGTCTTCCTTGCATCTAGTCTAAATCTACTGTCTTTCAGTTTAAAACCATTACCCCATCCCATGTTCAGGACCTTGCACTTGGCCTTGTTGAACCTCACAAGGTTCACATGGGTCCACTTCTCCAGCTTGTCCAGGTCTCTCTGGATGACATCCTGTCCCTCCGGTGTGTCGACTGCACCACTTATCTCGGTGTCATCTGCAAACTTGCTGAGGGTGCACTCGGTATGGCTGTCTATGCCATTTAAACAGTACTGGTCCGAGTACGGACCCCTGAGGGACTCCACATGTCACCGATCTCCACTTGGACGTTGAGCCATTGACCACTACCCTCTGGATGCGACCAGTCAACCAATTCCTCATCCACCAAACAGTCCACCCATCAAATCCATATCTCTCCAATTTAGAGAGAAGGATGTTGTGGGGGACTGTGTGAAAGGCCTTACAGAAGTCCAGATCGATGACATCTGTAGCTCTTCCCTTGTCCACTGATGTAGTCACTCCATCATAGAAGGCCACTAGGTTGGTCAGGCAGGACTTGCCCTTGGTGAAGCCATGCTGGCTGTCTCGAATCACCTCCCTGGCCTCCCTGTGCCTTAGCATAGCTTTTAGGAGAATCTGTTCCAGGATCTTCCCAGGCACAGAGGTGAGGCTTACAGGGTCCTCAGCGGAAAATGACTTTGCTCCCACAGTCCCTGCCTTGCAGTCCATCCACTCAAGAGGTGTGGGAAGAGAGGTATCCAGTGAAGACAGGCAAAAAAAGTTGTTGAATCTTTTTCTTGTCCATTGTTACCAGTTTCCCTGTCTTGCTCATCAGGGGGGTACGCTTTCTTTGACCAGCCTTTTCTGGCTGAGATACCTGTAGAAGCCCTTCTTATTATTCTTGGTATCCCTTGCCAAGTTCAGCTCCACCTGTGCCTTGGCCTTCCTGACCCCATCCCTATGCAGCCAGCCAGTGTCCCTATACTCTTCCCAGGACAAGTGTTGCTGCTTCCACTGCCTGTGCATTTCCTTCTTTTTGATTATAAAATACCAACTTGAAGATACTGGAAATGGAAAACTTTGACTCGGGTATTACTTTCAGTAGAGCATTGTTAAGATTTTATACCTTTCTCTCCCACTAAGAAATCCCTTTCTTGGTCCAAGTGAAGGTATATGTTTTTTAGGCCTTAAGGAGGAAGTCCATATTTTTAACGTGGGTGAGGAGTGTTTGGAGGCAGAGATCTTCCAGTCTTTGAAGTCGTTTGTAATATTCTTGCATTCTGAGACTTATATCTAGATGAAGCTGGCAGGGAATGCTTGGTAAATGTGTAAGTGTTGCGTCGTTTAGATATCTTTGTTTCTGTCTATGTAGGTAAGCCGATGTCTAGGCACCGAAGTCATGAGACTGCACTAATTTTAATGTTAGCTATTGTGAGGCTTTTGCTAATTTAAACTGGACTTTAACGTAATTAGCTTTAAACTGATCCTTGTGTTTTTTCTTTAAATATCTAATTGAATTTTAGCATGTTTAAATTTATAAGGCTGAATTTTTAGAGAGGTGGTCATCTAATACTTGAGGTTTGTCATTATTCTTTTGCTATCCAGAGATGGAGGCATCAAATCTACATGTTTGAAATGATGTTGCTTTCAAGGAGGAGACAAATTTTGCACAAAAAGTAGCGTAGAGTATGCAGGTGAGCTTCCTACGGTACAGCCCCGATCTGCCGTTTCTGCCCTTCGTCTCTGGTTGCTCCCTGATCCCTGTGCCTGGACGTCCCATGTCTGGAACAAACTATAGACATGGTGGTGGCTATCCTTCTTCATACCTCTTTTTTAATGTACATCTGTTCACTCATGTAGGAGCTCTTGCAAATAAAGCAGAAATGCAGATTCTTAACTTGTTTTCAAAGCCAGACACTGCTAACGTGGGACGTGTGTATTTTCTTCTCTTTTGTAAGTGGGCTTTTCTGGATCGAGATAAGATTTTTGTGAGTGTTGATTTTATAACGTGTTATCTGAAATGTGTTTTCCCACAATAAATTTTTCCCACAATGAATTTTAATTAATCTGAGCGAACATCACTAACTAGCAATCCCCAGTGTACCAACAAAAAAGACATTTAGTAGAAGTATGGAAGATTATGCAATGATCAGTTTATGAAATCTCTCTCCTCATTTGGCAATACAACTCTCCTCTCAATTGCAGTAAAGAAGTCCAATAATATGGGAATTAAAATTCCTCTTAGAGTCTGGGGATGGTGTGTGTGTTCATGTTCAAACAGCTAATAAACATATAAAGTTCCTACACTTACTCTTCTTCCTCAGGAATTTTTCCTGAAGGCCAGGGAGTATCCTTTTGTTTTCTAATTAAATTTTGCCTTTTGGATTTATCAAGAGACTATAACTCTTCTTCTGTAGTCTGGGGGATGGCATCCTTTATAAAATTCTCCAGAAGCATCTCCTCTCTTCTCTGAACTAGTTACCTGCTATCCCCAGTGACTGGGATTGCTGTTCTCTCCATATTTTCTGTAGCTTTCTAACTAGGGATCTGCCTGCCCTGTCATTCTGTTGTAAAATTTGTGCCTTATATATCTTGACATTTTTTCTTTTTCACTTGTTTGAATGAGATCCAATTTACCTCTCACTTTCAGAATTTTCTTATAATGTTTTTTGGAGCCTGTCTGCTGAAGTTTTAATTATAGGAGTGAAAAGACCTTTGTGAAATGCTATTCTTCCTTGAATATTCTTTATTGTTTAGCCAGTATAGTAAACTTGGCTAATAAAATGTATCTCATATTACTGTCTCACCAGCAAATCGTTACAGTTTCCTATCTTCTTAATCTTTGTTATTTTCCGTCTGA